ATTTCACGGGTTTAATGACTTCACTCTATTATTTATTACTATTATTATTCATTATTATTACTATTTTTATTAATTATGCAACCAATAAGACGAGGGATGAAATTTCAACCAATGAAATACGTCCTTTTGAAGCAGAAAAACATTGCTTGATTAGCGTGCGCAACTCGTTTCAAATGGCAATCTATTTGAAAAAACTGGACAACTAGCTTAGATTAACCTTCTATTTTGCATTTAATATTTTACTCAATTTCTTAATAATCCTTATCGCTTAAAGCYTCGCTAGTGCAAGATACTAAAACTCAAAATTTCCACTTAGTATTCCTCGTGATTTTCGCGCGCTTTTTGATAACACAATTTTGTAGTCAAGTGATACTGACTGATATTCCAACTTCAATTTCGGTTCGCAAACAGTTCTGTCACAAAAACTRAGCTAATAACTAACACTAGAATTTAGTATCATTGAACTTGTATTGCTGTACTTTTTCCTTTCACTTTTGATATAAAGTCATTATATGTCTGTTGTCACACCGCTTTGTCATCCCGCGTCTTGACATGCGCAGCCAAGTTTAATTTTCCCACAAAAACCAACTTCTTTCCAATAAAGAACTCTTTGTCAACCTACCTTGAATGTCCATTACGGTAAGACTCGATAATCTAGATAAGTTTTAGTTACTAAAGAAAACTAGTGTTTCTTCTAAAGTAAATCTACAAATTTGAAGCTAATGAGGATAATTGACTGTGTCGTCACATAAGAGCGTGCGCACTTGTACCCAGGATACCACGGATGGAGCAGAGTCTGATCGCGAGGACWAAGCCCGCAGCCAGGGTTGTCGACCACAGGTAGCCCAAGCTTGGTTTCTGTGGTGTCATGTTATAAGGAAATGTATGGGGATTCTTCAAAAATGTCAACAAAATCATTGACGAAAAATAAAGCCTCGAAATTCTACGTGATCATTGAGAAATAGCACTTCTTTCGCTAGCTTCGCCTACGAAGGTTCGTGCTGTAACTTGTCGAATAAGATTACTGCAGTCAACTCGGCTTCAATGATTGCTACCCAGAATTCCTTTCGGTTCAGTTGCGTAGGCTTGAGATGGTCGACAACAACGTTTTTTGAATTGACTGTAGTTGAATAGTGCCATTTCATGTAGATATAGTCTTGCATGAAGTGGTAACCCCCGCTTGCTACTTCGACAGTCTCTCTCAGTCTCTCTCTGCCATATCGAAGGAACGCCTGTTTACTTTAGCAATCAAGGCTGACTCAATAATGGCGACTGAATCTTTTTATGGTCGTAAGCTTCCAGAAAATCTCATCGACTACCGCTCAAATGAATCAAAAGCTCGGCTGGTTCGCTGTATAACTAATGGCACTGCTGTTCCATTTTTATCTCTTTCGTCTTGCTTTAATACTCAAACAGAACCAGCCTATTGTGGTCCTTCAACTTTGGCTATCATCTTGAATGCACTGCGGATTGACCCTCAACGTTTGTGGAAAACTCCTTGGAGATGGTTCACAGAAGAATTACTGAATTGTTGTCGTCCACTAGAATTAGTAAAGAAATATGGTATCACTCTAGATGAGTTTCAATGTTTAGCTACATGTAACGGAGCAGTTTGTAAGATACTTAGGCCGAAAGATGACGAGAAAGATTTCCAAGAGTTCAAAAGAGCTGTTTACTGTGTYTGTACCGAAGGAAGAGCTAWTGAGACCATGAATGATGGTGATCAGGACTATGAGGTAGATCACGAAAATCCCAGCACATTTATTGGCATATCGTATGATCGCCAAACCTTAAAGCAGACTGGCTCGGGGCATTTTAGTCCCATAGCAGCATATGACGAGGAAACGGACTCAATATTGATTCTTGACACTGCTAGGTTTAAATATCCCCCATACTGGGTCCCTCTGGAGCTAGCCTTTCGCTCTATGCTTCCTATAGATGCCGAGACTGGTAAAAGTCGGGGTTATTTCTTGGTCAAGGCGAAGAATCAGTTCCAGGGTCGTCGTGTGTGCTGTGTATGGAAAGAGTTTCTTGATGATACGAAGATGCAAGATGATCTGTCCATGCCTCATCCTGTTTATAATGCCAGTGATAGTTGTCGTAAATCATGCGAAGAAGCAAAATGTTTGCTTAACGAAAATAGTCTTTCAGAATCCAAATAAGCTCACGGACTTAAGTTAATTCACACAGCAGCAGTAAGGGGGACTCGCGGTCAATGTCAAAGATTTACGGGTTTTACAGGCGGTTTAAGGAAGGCGCCGGCAGCGGGAATAAGCCGCGCGACAAGTCCTTACTGCTGCTGTGTTGGGAATCAAAGATAAGTGTTTATAAAAATGTACGATATATATACGATGCATGAATGT